GACTTTTAATAGATCAAATATAATTTTAGGTATAGCTTGCTTATTCATTTGGTATATTCAAAGCCAGCCTCTGCCATATTCTATATTTTTTGATGTGACAACATGGCGGTTGGTTGTGCTTTTTATCTCTATTTTGTTTTTATTTACTTTAAATCATCAAATGCTGATCTTTTCCGGTGGTGGTTAATAAATGCCTCTTCTTTCTTTAAAATCTTGAAGCTTGGAAAAGAATACATTTGAAGTTATCTCTAGGTCTTTTAATTATTAAAAAGTGATTGGCAGTTTGTTAAATGTAATGGATTGCCATGGGGAAATGTGTCAAGGAGAGAAGGTACATATTTGCATTTCGTTTTATATTGTTCATTTAGGAAGTAGCAGGTAAAACGTGAGTGTGGATGAAACAGAGTTAGCGCTGACAGGGAAAATGCCACGCCGAGTTCTCTGTGGAAGAAGCCCAGTGGACTTTTCTTCCAGAAGAGAAGCTTTGTGCTTTTACAGCGGTGATGGGAGGGAGTCCCTGTTGTGGGCTTTTCTTTTTTAAAATTATCTGTCTGCTCTAGACATTCAGTCTTAGAGAAACTTCCAAAATCACTCTATACTGTACTCCTAAAGCTTCTTAGATTTGGAAGAGATAGAAAGTCTTGGTATATTTTTATGCTAGTATTGTGCTTTTTCATATGCTAATGGTTTATTTAAAGTATTCTTGGAGTATGTTGCATTGTTGTAATAAAATGAAGTCACTAGACCTGTTCGACTGTACTTACCAAAGACAGAAGAACTCTGATTAATTAGACCTATGAGGCCTCCAGTTCATCGCTTTGTGTGGACTCGATGAATCAGTGTAGCTAATTGATTGGCTCAGCTGAATCAAATAAACTGTTAATGATCAGAGATTCAGATACCACAGATCCATTTAGTGCTCATTTCCTAACTTAGCCTACAAAATGTTTGCCTGTTTCCAATGATACTAATGAAATTGCCTTGGTTCAGTTATAAACTCCAGTGTATACCCTGTTATGACCAAGCAAAGGAATATGTACAGCTCAAGGCAAGTTACTAACTTCACCATAAAAAGTTAAAATACATATTTTAAAGAATTTTTCTGTTGCAATTTACATACAATATTATATTAATTTCACTGAACAACATAGTGTTTAGACATTTCTATACTTTATGAGGTGATTCCCCTGTAAGTTTAGTACTACCCATCTGACACCATACTTACTATAATATAATTGACTATATTTTCTCTTCTTCACTTTACAATTCTGTGACTATTTTTTAATAGAATTCATATTTTTATAGTAAATATGCTATAGGATTCCCCCAAAATATGTCTGTCTACTTGATCTGTCAAGTAGACACAAAATGTTATGTCTAGCAGCATTATTTTCCCTTAGAAATAAGGGTAATTAATATTTATATTGGTGAGACCAGCTAGCACTCTCCATTGTAACTCAATGACTAAGCAGTGACTACATGTATAATCTCTAAGAGCAAACATTAAAATCGTTGTTTTATGTGTTTGTTAGACTTTTCACTCCTTAGAACTAAAGAATAGTGGAAAAGAGAATATCCAGTTACAAAAAAAGTAATAGCAACAAAACAGGTTATTTTCCCTAAGAACTTTTTTCCCAAAATACTTGAAGGAAATTTTACCTTTGATTGTTTGACCTTCCACTCCCAGTTATTTTTTTCCCTTTTTTGGTGTCATTTTTCTAGAAATATTTCATACAGGAGAAATAAATAGATTTGATTTAATAAAATAGTTTATTTACATAATATTCTTACATCTTATTTCACATGTTACATAGAGTAAAAGGATTTGAAGGGCCTTAGGTGGGCTTCGGAGAGCCTGCACTTCCCCTAAAAGTGTATGCAGAATTATGTGTGTGTTGTGGATAAGGTACAGTCCTGGTGAGAAGATCAAGTTCCATTAGACTCTCAAAGTCCACGGCTACAAAAATAAGAACCATTGGCTTATTGAACCCACCTGAAACATTATGGTTACAGTGAGAGCATCTTCATTATTTCTGGAGGTGTCTAACTCTTCCTGCCTCCTAACCCCGCTTTCAGGGTCCTCACAGTACTTTTCAGGACCCAGGCTTGGGCTGAGGGTGTTTGTGAAGGAGGAGTTGGGAAAGTGTTGAACCAGAAGCTTCATTTGAGCTCTAAGGTAAAATCTGTAGAAATTGAAGTTAGACTGCAATGACCAAACACAAGAACTGCAGTTCGAGTACGAGAGGGAAGAGATTAAGAAGAATATAATTCACTTTGCTTTAATTATATGTTAGGACATATACTCGCATTTTTATAGATTGTATTAGTGCCACAATATTGACTTAAGTTACCTCTATTTTAATAATAAGAACATGAGAGGAAGTATGCAGATATTTTGTTTGAGAGTAAGGATATACAGTAGCCTAATTCCTTTCTATACAGAATTATAATAACCAATATCGTCTGCCAAAAAAAAAGTCAACTACATTTAAAACTACAAAATACATTTCTGAAATTTTAAAAGCAAATTAATAAGTTTATAAAGACTAGGAGTAGTTTCTTTTTACTTATAGTCTTAAGATTAAAAAACTACAGTTTATACAAAGCTCACTAATTGGCTGCAATGGTTGGTATCCTATTATCATTACTTGGAAAATTGGATTATTTAAATTTAGGTTAATAAACTTAATGTTTCTCTTTCCTGAAATTTTCTGGTTATGTACTTTTTTTATGGAAAGCTGTCTTAGTACCATATTGGAATGAAGTCAGTTATAGACATAAGTAAATTGCATCAAAATAATTATTTATTGATTTGGAATGAAGTAGGTTATAGACAAACAGATGTAAGTAAATTGTGTCAATATCAAAATTATTTATTGATCTTTATATTTTAACAAAATGGAGTTTTTTGACCATTTCTGATTACATTCGTACGGACTAAGTGCTCATCTTCTTAGTCAGCTTGGACTGCTATGACAAATTACAATACCATTCACTGGGTGGCTTAAACAGCAAACATTTACTTCTTACAGTTCTGGAGGCTGGAAAGTCCAAGATCAAGGTGCTGGCAGATTTGGTTCTTGGAGAAAGCCATCTTCCCATTATGTCCTTAAATGGCAGAGAGCAAAAAGAGCAGCAAGCGTTCTCGTGTCTCTTCTTATAAGGACACTAGTTCCACCTTGAGGGCTCTATCCTTATGACCTAAATACTTCCAAAGGCCACATGTTCAAATGCCATCACACTGGGAGTTTCAGCATGTGAATTTCATGAGGATAAAAATATGTAGTCTATGACAGTACAAATCCTGTAACAAATATTCGAGTGTGTTTTTGTCAAACACTGAGATACGAATTTAGACATATTTTCATTCAATTCTGCTTTGACATCATATGAAATTACTCATTACATACCAGCTGTATATGTACTATTTTAAATATGCTAATCTCTAATAATATGTGCCCATAAATACATGTTATGAGAAAAACTTAAGGCCCAAACAATGGCTGTGAAAATATGGAGCCCTCTACGACAGTTCCTGTAAATATGATATGTCACAAAGTCTGTTTCTGTCTCTTGGAGGCATCTAATGAGGTTCTGTTCAGTCTGCAAAGGATGATCAAGTACTGCCAAATGGTTTTGTCCCAGATACACTGTGAATAAGATGCCTGGCAACAACATATCAGAGCCCACTTGAGACTTTAGGTGCATTTATCATGAAGCACTCAAATGTGACAGGACACAAGTCACCAGCAAAATAGCAGTTACTTCATGAAACTTTGGGTTGGAGGGGGAGGTCCTCTCAAATGTGCCAACAAAATGTAGTTAAACAGATTATATTGCTAAAAACCATCTGCTTTGTGCTGATTTTGCATAATTTGTTCATTTAACTCATGCCCACAGAGCCAAATGTTTAAAGGGTAGAAATGTGCAACCGAAGCCTCCCAGCCCAGGACGTGCAGGCTGGGTTTGCGGAAGTCCTCAGAAGGAGACTGGGAGTCCCTTTGGGTGGGCTGGGAGAGTGGCAATGAGGGCCTCGCTCTTTCTGCTCTCGGGTGTCCCGGCGTAGCCGCAAGGCACCTGATCTGAATGGCTCTCTGTACCGTACCTGTCCCTTTTTCTCGTGGGACTAAATGATTAATTGGATTAAACAAACAAACAAAAAAGCAAGATTTCATAGACTTCATGCAACTGCTGAAAATGGAACAAAAATGGCCTTGACTCTCCTCCCTCTCAAATTCAGCCCTTTGTGTGTGGTAAAACCCCCGGCATGTAGCTGTCAGCTTTGAGAAGAGAGGAGAATACAGCCATTGGATAGAGAATGTAGTCGTTTTTTTTTTTTTTTTTTTTTTTGATTCTTTAACTTTTTAAGCATTACTCTCAAGAACCCTTTTAAAAACCAGAATTTCTGTAAAACCTTCTAAGACACTGTAAGTAATGAAGACCCATCTAGGTTCAGGATTGGTTGCATGTAACATATATTTCTCATTTATTTCTCTTGCCTTCTTTCAACGAACAATTTACATGTGAATTTTATTGATAAAGTATTCTTATGTCTGAACTTTCCCTTCCTGTGAGGTCAAACTGTGTTGTGCACCTAACTGAGAACTGATAACATTGCTAAATTCCTTTTTCTGACCACTCCTAGTATCTACCTGTGGTTTATATATTCAAATGTATCTAATATTTTATATTCTTAAGTAGGTAAATAATTTTACCAATGCAAAATGGTAAAATCTATTTCATTTAGTAATGGAATTTACATGTGAACTTATGGTATTTACTTTCAAATTAAACCTTGTAGTCCTAACTCTTGCAAAGATGAGTAAAAGTATAATGATGCTTTTGTGTGAATTCTATTGTAGAGATCATCCTGAACTTTCATTTTTTACATCTTAATAATAATTATTACTAATAGAGAATAAAAAGACAAGCTATTACATAAACTTGAAATTATTTTAATAGCTTTGTTTTTATAATTATATGTTATGCTTTATTTGCAGGACCGTGTGAATGTGTTAGAAACGGTAAGTTGGGGCATTTTCTTTCTCCTTCTATCAGAGTGCTGATGTGGATTTCAGAGCACTCCCCAAAGGAAGCTGCCCAGAAAGCATTTCTAAAACTACACCTGGAATTCATAGGGCAAAATAAGCCAAACTGTACATGAAAGGTATGTGGGTACTGATTTCTAAAATGCAAAAAATATTTAAAAACAAAATGTGCACATTTAAGTGGCCATTTAGTGACCTGCTCTCTTTAGTCTGATGATGGCAAGATGTACTAATTTATGGAAAATATAATTAGTTTAAGTGTAATCAATACCCTGTATATTTGTTTCTGTATTTCTTAGTCACTAAAAAGACTGGTTGATAAACAATTGAGATGATGATGCTATTTATACTTTGAAGTCCAGATATTCAACTTTAAAATTTTTACATCGTTTTTACTAATATTCAGAAAATGATAAAAACTGGTCAGCCTTCTTCTCGATAACCTTACCTGCATGAATCTAGTATTAAAAAATGATTTTTAAAGTACATGGATGTAAAGACTACATGCTTCCAGTATTTGTAAAATGACTTATTTTAAATGATTTTTAGAATAAAAAGGGGACATGGCTTATTGTTTGACAATTAAAATAATGGTTAGATATAGTGTGGAATTTCCACCCAGTTTGCCACAGTTATGGAAAAGGCTTCTACTACAATGTTAAATGGAAACAAATTCAATATATAAAATCATGTGTACTTTAAATGATAACATAAAATGATAGGTATATGAAAAAAGAATACAAGAGAATGAGCAAAACTCATGAAAGTGACTTGTTAGTCAAGAATTAGGGCTGTGATTTCATTTCTTCTGTTTTAAAAGTTTTATATTACTTTTATAAATAAACATTTTTATAACAAAAACCATGTGGACTGGAAGAACAGTTAAATAAATTATGGTACCACCTTATGATGAAATATTATTCAGCCATAAAAAGTCATATTTTAAAAAGTAAATCTTGCCATGCTGTTATGTGAGGTGAAATAGTGGTATATAAAGGTATAATGGAGACTATGATGCAAGTATGAAATATGCACACTTAGTGTTAAAAAAGGACTTTAAGAAAGGACACAAAATATTGAGTGGCTTGGGACTAGTGGTGATTTTTATTTTATCTTTTTATATATTTAATGAACAGGAAAAAAAGAAATCTTTAAACAATAAGGCTAATGAAGAATGAAATATTTATTCTGTGAGTGTGAGGAATGGAAAGATGCTAATAGAGCACATTTTAGTCCTGTGTAAACAAGTGATTTTGATTGACAGCGTCCAGACCCTAGTGGGTAAATAATCTATTCCTTAGATTTAACTGGGCCATTTGGAAAGTACACTGACCTTCTCAGTTTCAGTATGATGACATTGTAGGTGAATAAAATGTTTAGTGTTCCTCCACATATATTTTACTTAACCTTAGGGAGTGTCTTGCCAACAGGATTTGGCTTATGAACTAAACGCTCTTTTTAAAAGTATGAACAAGAACAGAAATTTTGAGTTTGAAGACTTAAGTTCAGCAGCATACAAAATGCCACTTATACAACATTTTAGCAGATCACTTGTCTCTTGATTTCTTCATCTATAAACATGATTATAAGTGAACTTCTTATATTAGATTGTGAGAATTAAGAAAGTTTGTGTGAAAATGTTTTGGACCAACCAAATGTTAGCTTATCGTTATCATTATGTGATTGATTATTGTTTCTTATTTAAACACTTTAATTATACCAATATGCCACATGAAGCTGAAAATTTTATCAATAATGACAAAAAGCCTATAATTTTCATTAGTACTTGTTAGTATGTTTTGTTTATATAATCTCTTTATTACTGTGGAATAGAATTATAAATACCTTATTCTAAGGATTCCTTTAGGAATAAAGGTAAAAATAAAAAGTCATCATGAAAAAAATAAAATTGATTAAATGGACTAGGTTTTTTACAGTGGCAGTTTTCTCAAGATGCGTTTAATTTGAAGTAATTGAGTAAAACCATAAAAATGAATGTGCTCAAGTAATGTTAATGCTCAAATATTATGAAGGCCTTTGACTTCACATGCATTATAAGGAGCAGATTTAATGCATTTGGTAGACTACTCACCTGGTAAAGTATTTTATAGTTCATAAAATCAGATATACTGAAAGCAATCTCAAGATCATTTGTTATTCTCTCACTACTCAGCACTTACACCGTGAGAAAGTGCTGGTGGTCTCCATTTGGTAGGGTTGGTGGCTAAGGATACATGAGGCATTGAGTTGGGGGTAGATATTATGGTGATTGAAATCTGCAAAAGTCTGGAATTTCTTGTTTCATTTGGAGTATTTATACTTGATTGCTTTTAAAAGTTCACCAGTTATAATACATTATAAAAGATAAGATGGCCTTTTCATCATAATGAGCAACTTGATTTATCTTGTCACCAATTATCTGTATGCTTACTGTTCATTTTTCCTCCTCTTCCTCAACTTGTCCCTTTCCTCCTTCACTAGCAGGTAAGCTTCTTGGATTAGAAATGACATTTTACTTGCAAATGCTTCCCCAAGGCCTGTCAAAAATTTCTGTGTAGTGGACAATCGATAAATATTTGTAGAATGAAAAAGTGAATCCTGAATTGAAAGTGTATGACCTTCAAATAAGACTGTTCTTAGGAGTATAGGTATGTTACAGTACCAGTATGTGCAAGTCCATTAATTGAGGGGAGAAAATCCCCTAGAAGCAGATTAATTTATTCCTTCCCCCGCCAGCTTTTCTGATCAGCTCTGCACTTTATGTGGTGTTTCACAGAAGCTCTAACAATCCTCATTAAAGTTTAGTATGAATTTTGCTAAGGAGAAACCACCTTCAGCCAAAATATAGCAGGTGATTCCCCAAATAAAGCTAAGTGATTGCCTGAAAAAAAAAATCATAATTGAGAGCCTAATTCATGGACTATGACTGGGACCCAGCAGTGGATGTTTATTGGATGCTCTATAAAGCAGTGCATTGTCACTGAAGAGGGAAAAATACATTGTGATCAGTTCTCTCCTGTAACTTACACTTTAACTGAGAAGAGAATTTACTTACATGTAAAGAAATCAATGATGTAAGATAAAAGTACACTACAACACATGAATGAAACAGGTAATACATACTGTAGAAGCCATTATGAATAAGAAATAATTGTAAAATAAATTAAGACATCAGGCAGTGTAGGTTCATTGTGGAATATAATAGATTTTGTAGTTTGAGGTTATGATTAGATTATTTTTAGGGGACTGGATTCATCTCTGAATGTGGAGAATATGTCGTGTTGGGGAGAAAAAGCCAGGGAAGTCATTCTGTGTTGAGGATGCAATCAAATTTGGAAGGTAGTAATGAACAAAGAGTTTGTTAAAAGGATGTTTTTAAAGGGTAAAATCATGAAATCGTGACTCCCATACAAAAAAAAAAGAGTTCATGAAAAATGAGTTTGTTTAACTCATTAGTTAATGAGAGAATGAGTAAGATGTTGTAAATGACTGAACGGAACAATGAACCGCATATATACATAGGCACTAAAGAGTGCTGAAGGATTTAAAATAGATGCAAAGCTGTCTTCTCCACTGCAGAGGGAGGAAATCAACTGGACCTCCCTAGACAAATTTTTTTTTGCATACCTATGAACAAGAATTGTTTGCATTGCTATCAGTTATCTACAGCTCAGAGTTATAAAGAGCCCCAAAATACTGACAGGTACAAAGATCCCATGGAAGAATCAGACTACCAAGAAGAGTGCGTTAGGCGAAAACTACTTTTTATTGAAGACATCCAATTTGTTCCTTTCAAAGTCTTTCACATGTTTTTTATAGGTTCTTAGGCGATAGCACTCCAAGAACATAATAAGAAATCCTGGAGTTTTGAAATATGGACCGAGTAGTTTAGACTTGATATCTTGCATCAGGGATACGAATGGGTTTCTTCCTGAGTGCCAGTTCCTACTGGTCAGAACTCAGTATTAAAACATTCTGTTGGGCAGGCCTCTGGCTGCTCTTTTGGAAAGAGTGCTGTGATCAGCTTGCATTCCCTGTCATGTGCACTGCAGGGTTAGGAGGTGAAAGGTAGCACCACTATTAATGGTTTTTTATCTGGGTTGTGGCTTGTTAAGTGCGGTATGTAGGGACACGCAGGTAGTAGGGTGCAGGATAGAGCGGCACGGGGGGAGACTGCAAGCAGGAATAAGGAAGTGCACGTTGGAGGTGATCCAACTTAGGAACATGCTTGGAAAATTAGGGACTGGGGCAGTTCATGCCAGAAAGGTGGGGTTAAAGTGGATGCCTTTGACTAGAGCAGGAACTAGTGCACTTACAAAGTGGGAGGTTAAGGGACAGGAAGAATTATTGTCAGTATATTTCAAGTCATTTTGGGGAGTTTAAAGAGAATGTAAGGCAGTTCAGCTTGGAGCTATAAACTCAGTTTTTCATATCACCTCCCCAGCCCCCGCCAAACCTGCCTTTATTTTTATTTCCATTAAGACCACAGTAGTTTAGATTCTTATATGTTTGTGTTAGTTAGAGTTAAACATGACTTCAGTTAACAGAGAAATCCAAAAATAATAGTGGGTTAAGTAAGATAGAAATTAATTTTTCTCTTATGTAACAATCTAAATATATGGTGTCCATGGCAGATGCGGTGTCTGAAAACCAGACTGCAGGTCTTTTTGTTTCACCGTCCTCAGTCTGTTGCTTCCCCATCATGATCCCAGATGCCCACGGTCTCTCCAGCCCTTGAGTCTGCATTGTAACTAGATGGAAGGGAGGGAGAGCATGGAACTTCCCTTTAGTGAAAACTGGAAGTTGCACATACCATTTCTGTTCATCCCTATGAGCCAGAAGTTAGTGACATGATTATAACTAGCTCTAAGATTCAAAAAGAGAGCAGGATAAGCTATAGATTTTTTGGTGTTTCAAAGTAAATTTCTAAATATCTCAAGGTCAGAAATAAATTATAGTGGAAATTATAAAATATA